TTCCAAATTTATGTAGTTTTGTTACCATAACAGTATATCGTAATTAAAACTAATTAATTTTTCAATTATATGGTTATTTATAACTCTTCTGTTCTCATTTCGTTTCATAGATACCGTCTTAGTCTTTCTTGCCGAAATCTTCAAATTATATTTTATAACTATATTGTTCTGTGTAAATACTGTTCTTCGCACTTAGATTTTATAATTACAAGAACTTTCCATGAATAAGGTTATAGCGAACAAGGCTCAATTCAATTTGACCATATAATGCTTCTGCCTACAAGTTACGCCACTTCTAAATTTTTCTCACCTGCTGCACTGCGCCGTTAAATTTTGGCAGCAACTCCCCACACTGGTCCAGTGTTTTCTGGTGCTTCCACATGATTACTCAGTGTTCTTTGGCCATATACAGCACATAAATTTTCCATAACTCTTCCTCTGGTCGTGCCTTCACTAATGCCACGTTTACGTGATGTGTCCGAGAACACACCACACGAAATGTTTCAGAACCGGAGAGGCAATTCTGATAGTGCCATGAACCGAAAGCTATCTCATGTGACTGTACATGAAGCAGGGCTTCAATTAAAATTAATGGTATGTAAACATATGTGTTAATTATGCTTCAGATCAACTGGATTGTAAATCCAAATTAACTTTATGAGTAACATAAAAATCTATAGTCGACTTCTTGATTTGAATTAACTTAACATTTTATATGTAATGGAGAGTCCTGCAATCGGTTTTACAGTAGTAAAAATAATGCTGCCGTAACAATTTCATATTTTTGTATTTTACGTGTTTTAATTTTTTAATGTTTCTTCTTTTTGGTATTTTGTATTCACATTCCATGTAGATACTCAGTAAGAACTTGGACACTGAACGTATTTAAATATATACATTACTAATCGATTTTGTAAAGACCTTAACTAATTAGAGATGACACTCTGATGAACGAATTGAGAATCTTTGCAGTATCAGGCTGGGATGCGATGGGGATGCGACAGGAAGTATGCTCAGAACCACTGTGCTGAATGGTAAGCTTCATTCAACAGCTGACAATCTCCAGAACTAGAAATAAAACTGCGGCACAGAACGCTAAAACTGCTAGTGGTTAATTGCTTCTAATAAGACAACGCTTTGGGAATGATCTAAACACATGATACTTACTCAAGGAGCTGAGCCCTTCTAGAGAAGATGCCAGTCGCTCAGCTACTCAAGAACTTCCCAGCATTTTATGGAACCCAAAGATCCATTACCGTATTAACAAGAGCCCTTCACTCTTCATATCCTTAGCCAGATCAATCCAGTCTATACCACCCCATCCTCTCTAAGGCTAATTTCATTTTTGTCCACCCACCTACTACTTTGTCTTCCCAGTGGTCTCCTTCCTTCTGGCTTTCCCAATATACTATATGCATTCCTCGTCTCCCCCATACGTGCCATAAGCCCTGCCCACCTCATCCTCCTTCATTTGATCACTCTAATTATGCTTGGAAAATAGTACAAGTTATGAAGCCCCTCATTATGCAGTTTTCTCCAACCTCACGTCACTTATCTAGACATATGAAACCAGGCTCGAAAGCTGACACAGAACGAGATTCGAAAGACATGTCTTCCGAATACATGTCAAATATCAAACCTCATCTGGGATTTCCCCAATATTTTATATGTATATCTCCTCCCTTGCAGCCATGTGATTCTCAGTTAAACAAAAGAATAAGGGCAACAGCGTCGTAAATTCTGATATTGAATCTGTGCTATGCGAAGTTCTCTGAATGGGATTACGCGTTAAGACATTTTTTTTTGTCTCGGGGAACTTTGACGGATACGCAGCTTAAGCACCAAACCTGCTGCAGTATACATAAATCTCCCCTGTCCATAAACCGCATGTTATTTATGTTTACAAAAAAATCAGGCAAGATTATCTCGGTTGGAAAGAAAACGCGTGCTAGGCTAGCATATTCCTGTATAGTAGCGACCCAACGAACGTTGCAACACAAAGAGTTGCCTACTCTAAAGGATAACTCAAGAGTAATAAGTCAATTCTAATCGAAACATATACTTCAACTTTACAAATATATTAATAGGCCAGAACAGAAATTACATTTTCTGGGCAAGCGAATAAATGAAGAGTTCTATCTTCTAAGCGTAACGCCGTGTAGTCCGCTGAAAATCAACCGACGTTTCGGAGGAACATGCTACCTCCATTTTCAGGATCTTCTCTACTTGCTACATGCTTCGGGCTGGTTTCTTGCCTGGCTTATTCTTTGACCATGAAGATGAAGCTGGTATGTTCCTCTGAAACCTCGGTTGACTTCCAACGTACTACACGGCGTTATGTCCCAGAAGACAGAACCCTTCGTAACCGCAGCAGTGAGAGTCACAGAGCCTACGAACGCATAAATACTCGTATTCTCCCGGAAGTTAATCTACTAGTATCCTTCCTCCTCTTCTTTATACAAAAATCATATTCTAAATCTTATTGTGAGGAAAACATAACGAGAGAGCTAAGTGCGAGTTCTACGTCACAGCTACTTATCTCGCGTGCCTGGTCCCATGTAATTTTGACTTCTGTATTCTTTCTGATATTTTCATAGAAGTTGGTGAAGGTTCCATCCATATTGTGAGAAATATTCGCCGCTTTTTCTAATTCATAAATCACAAAGAACATGTCATTGTGTTTGGATTTTTGCCAAAGAGAATCTGCTGAAATTCCTTCGCAGCTATCCACATATATATTGCACTACTTGCTTCTTTCATATTGGCTATAAATAAGATCAATGTTCAGTACAGAGCCATCTGGATTGTAATGCCGCATACGGTTTGAAGAAGTTTCAGATGTTTTCGGGGGCTGGGAGGAGGTAGTCCGTTCCTTCAAAATGTCTTAAATTTCTTCCAACACTAAAAGACGTTACAAGCCAGATTATTATATGATTATTTTGAAAAAAAAAATGTCTTCACTGTAGGTGGCATGAAGGATTTTATACAGTAGCAGATTTTCTGTATATTAATTTTGCATGGAATTATTGTTTTGTTATGTTTAAAACATCCAGTGTGCCGATAACTCTAATCTTTTGTGGGGTTTGCGATGAAACTAATCTTAAAGATATAACATGGTTTTATTTATACTGAAAGTTAATGTTAATTTTTCTTCAATCCTAGGATTACGAAAGTGGCAGATTAATGACTTCAGTTACTTAAGTGCCATTTTCTGATTTACGTTATGTGTTGGCCGTTTAAGTTGAAACAATGTGTTACGTCCCTTTAAGATTATGCCTGTAAAAGAGACCTTGTCAGTTTTTAACAATAAACCTTTCAGTGTCTATCTGATTTTGAAAAAATTGCATTTGCCTTTATATTCTTTTATACTTAGCTATACCTGTTTATATAATTAAATATTTATGTAAGGCTGAATTTTAGATGTTCCATATATTTTACACATCTCTTCAAATGAAATGTCTTCTTTACTTTTGACAATAATGTACCAACAATTTTATAATAATATGCATACGCGTATGAGTTGCAGGTACTATGAGATTGACAATTAAATTTTTCCAGCAGGAGGAGATTTCGGAAATCCAGTATTCATCTTGAATACATAATGGTACGATTTTTGTTCCCACCAAAACTGCTGGAGTGATCATTCATTTCATTCATCAGTAATCTGTCAGACGACAGGTCCACAGCCTCTTCCAAAACAGTTTCTCCACTTAATACGATCTTCTGTTTTTGGAAAGAGACTATCCAGGAAAAGTGATAATGTGGTAGTTTTTCCATTTGCTTTCCACATCGCAGTACAACAGCCGTTCAAACCACTCTGGTCACGCCTGTTGCTATAGGAACTTGAACCATCTCGAGCATCATTTTCTCTGTGCTTCAAGTCGCTGCTGATGACGCTGCTTCCGGCATCAGTTTTCGGTGTCTCTCTTCGTCTGATGCCTACCCTTTGACCTGTCCAGCAAGGGAGGCCCTGCCAGTAGCTACGCTACCGCTGGTATAGCTCTCAGGGTCCTTGGCATAATCAAACCCCATCACCACGATAAGGTGGAGACACCAACGAAGGAGTTGGAGTGATCATGGCCAATTAAATAATTTTATTAACCAAAACCCAATATTTCAGTTTATGCTTTTGAGACATTACCTTACACTGGAATAAGGGAATGCTGGTTCAGTTCAGGATTTCAATTATATTCCTTCAAAACGTTTTCAGATTACAAAACAAACAGTGGGAACTCCAATACTGAAATGATACCATAAAGATCATGATACTGATTATAACACAGGATGAACAGGACAGAACTGATCATTCCTGATTTACTCCATTAAAAGTAAAAACAAGTTCCAAATTTTTGTTTCCTCTTGCAAGCTCTCTACTTTCTTGTCAGATAATAAGAAAATTGTGTTACTTGTTCAATGTTAATTACAATATCAATGTTTATTTTCCTCTGACCTTCACGCAGTTAAGAGTAATCTTGAGTTTCATAACCTTTACTTACCGAATCATGAAAAAATTAATTTTTATGCAATATCATTTAGACATAGAGCCCAAAATTACGGAATAAATCATTTTCAGGACTGAATGACATAAAAGGCTTTATTACAGCTTGAGACTTAAAAGTCCCTACAGGACTACATTGAGAAATTCAATATAGAAATTAAAACTAGAAACATAACAATTACTGTTTTCAAAAGCCAATCAGATACAGTTCATACTAATAACACTAATTACATCCTTTTCATCTAGAAATTAATTAAATTAAGGGAAAAATAACTTAGTTGCTAATAACAAATATATTAATTGTTCACAATTTTTTAAATATAACAATTATACAAACAAAATAATTTTTTAAACAGTCCTTTATAAAGAATACTATCTTACGGGGTATAACGCCGTGTAGTCCGCTGAAAGGTAACTGACGTTTCGGAGGAACATGTCAACTTCATCTTCAGGGTCTGCTCTACTTGATACATTCTTCATGCTGGTTTCTTGCTTGGTTTATTCTTCAACCATGAAGATGGAGGCGATATGTCGTTCTGAAACCTCGACTGACTTTCAATGGACTACATGGTGTTATGTCCCAGAGGACAGAATTCTGCAAAACCACTACTGTGAGAACCTTAAATACTACAATCCTTTTATATGTCACAGTTTATCGACCTTCTTGATAATAATAAGGCTTTCATACTTCTGCAAATACCATAGTCGAAATGAAATAAAAAAGGAAATCACAAAAATAGAAAGTTTCTAAGAAATTAAGGAAAACAGAACATGCTTATAATAAAGATGCTCATAATATTATCAGTTGATATAATCCTTCTGTATCTTGCAGCTGTTTCTCTTCAAATTCTCCTTTTTATTCACACAAAGAGAGTCTGCATTGTGTACACTCTGAATGAATCCTGGACTCAACCATCTTTAATGAACACAGTATCTCTCTACTATTGCCTTTTTTTATCTTCTTATTTTGCCATTCATATTGTCATTCAACACCAAATCTCCAGAAAATTTATCTTTTCTTCTGTGAAATAAATGGACAGATAAGTGACAATTTTTGGATTTCCAATACATTTCACATAGTGACAAGGATTTCAAAGTTCCTGAAAATTCCTGTTTGAGCTACGTATGGCAGATCAGTCTTCCAACACATTTTCTCTGTTCCTGTGTGACAGAGAGTCATTATTACATGAAGATGTGCAAGGAGATTCGAAGTATCTGTTGCATGCATGGCTGCACTGTTGGGACTAGCCAATCTAAGTCACCTGACCTGTAATCCTCAATCTTTGGCAAACAGCGAAAACTGTGCTAAAACTGCACTCCAAGAAATGCATACACTTCTTTTGTTCTGATGAGCCAAATATTTCTTTACTTCTGTGTAACATATAGCATTTTTTAAAAATGACGAATAGTAAGAAATGATCTGATGAATGTGAAGGAATTTTATATCCTCAAAGAAACTTTTCATAGCACTTCTCTGCAGGAGAAAAATGAGTGCTGTAAAGTTGTCCCTGTTCTTAAAAAAGCCTCATGTCATGAAGACATAGTGGCAAACAGAGATATAGCCCCATACCTTCATAATCTTGGCACTAGACAGAGGGGAGTTGTCAGCTTCACGCATTGGCTGCTTTATCCCAGGGGAATGACCCTGAGTATCCACTGGATAAGAGGGTGGATGGGTCTTAATGCTGGTCTGGATCCTGTGGAAAAGAAACAAATATCTTCCCATGACTGGAAACAGAACCAGTTCCTCAGTTATTCGGCACGTATACCAGTCACAATCCTGACTGAGCCATCGTGGCTACAAAACGGGTACTGCTATTACCCTACTGCACAAATAGCATGAACTTCTTCCTGTTCTCTATCGCTGATAGTTTTACTGAGTCTTCTCATTGTGGTTCTACAACAATTATGTTCTGCCTTACTGGAGGTACATTTTTTGAACTTCCAGCACATTGCTGTCTCCTGACAATTCTGTGACAGTCCTCATCACTGACTTTATCTGGTGACCACTGTTTTTTATGGCATACCTTATTTCAGCTGTTACAGGTATTTCTGATAGATTCAATCCCTTGATGTAGCAGAGTATAATTCTGTAAGTTCAAAGTAAATGTGACTAAGAACATTATAAAATATGTTTGGTACTAGAAACTGACTATATTATTTACAACACATAGTGAAGCACAGAAAAAGCAATAATTGTAGTAAATTATTGAAAAGCATAGGATCCATTTCACTTTCAGATGATTGTAATAACAACAAAATTAACAGCAGCAACAGAAGTAGTAGCAGTAGTAGTAGTAGTAGTAGTAGTAGTAGTAGTAGTAGTA